CACACTATCTTCCAATTGTGTTAACTGTGCAGTTGTCTTAGATTCGTATAGTCCAGTATTTCCGAAGCAATTTCCACCTTCTCCAGAAGATGTCTCTATACGTGGACGTGCACGACTCAATGCAGAACGAGCGCCTTCACATCAGAGCAACCAATCTCGCACCAAACGGCATCTACAAACTAGTGTTGAGGTCAGCCTAAGTGTACCTTATGAGTGTTTGTAGGGACCAATTTGTTACAGTATTACCTAGCAGTACTCGGTGTGAAAGAAGCTGGTGTGTCACCTGGACATCTTTGGCACTCCTCTAAATGTGATGTAGTGAAAGAAATTTTGCTCTTGTTTCTGATCACTTTGAAAATTGTGGAATTTTTGAAAAAATTCCGGGCCGTTCTTAAAAAATTTCTCCGCTCAATCGAAAAGTACACTGAAAGCAACTTGAAAATCCCAGAATTTGAAAATTGCTAACTATTACTTCCCTTGTGTCTTTTGTGTCCCTTACCTATGCGAGAAAATCAGGAAAAAACAGGCTTTTCTAATTCAGGCTCAAACACAAATTCGGGACTCACATGTCCTATGCGGTCTTCAAAGCAGACTCGGCCGGTGAGATAGACGTTCCGACAGCGACACCGCTGAGAGGATCCTACAGCGGTTAGTCGAAAATTTTCACTCTACTGGATTTTGAGCAGCGTTGACCTATCCATGATCCATGCTAGGTGAAAGTAGAAGGTACTTACTTACTTAGTAGGTACCTTCTAGTTTCATCTGGCATGGATCATGATCTCCTGAGTACTGGGAGACAATCGGAAGGACGGGTTCAAGTGACAAAAATGTAACTTATCTCATCAATGGGTAAACTATGTCATTGTTTAGAAGCTGATCCGATGGGACTCTTCATGAGCGTCGAGCCATGCGAGGATTTTCCATTCGGTATCTATTTAAGATGCACTCCACCGCTACCATTTGTCTACAATTTGATGTGAGTCGAAAGAACGGCCTTCATGAGGACCTTTGAATTCATTTCTATGGTGAAGATATAATTCTGCAATTTTTCAGTCTGCTGGACTCCGGCGATCGTGAACTAGCAATGGTGCCGATCAAAAAGCATTGGATGCATCCAAATTTAGAACGAATCGAAATCGAGGAGGACGGCTTCTGCGGAACTTTGTTCAAGCCACCTGGTTGGTTATCGAAATTTTTTGCTATATCGCTTGGTTTATTGTGCTTTATGCTTTGTTTATTATGCTATATGGTTTATTAATAGGACTACTGTTTGTGAGAATTCCTAGGAGTGCTCGACTTATAAGAGTTCGGTCAGGTTCAAGGACTCCACGGATAGAATGATGAAAGACAAGCTCAGGGATTAGGCTCACTAGTAGGAGCCGTGCCACCAGTGAACTTGTTGGGTCCGAACCTACACAGCTTGTGCCAGCTCCGTTATCTAAAATGCGCGGTTGGGCACTACCGATAAGGAATCGCAACCATCGCAACTCCCACTCACCGCAATTGATGTAGGGATCAGTGCGCTCTCTCCTCATACGTACCATATCCGGCCTTATTTTAGTTTTTTTGAAGTTCGATAACCTTTGAGTTTTAGCATTTTCATGCATCGGCGTGTTTCTCATCGTCCCATGTTTTAGTTACATCGGCAGGTCCAAGCTCTCACTAACGAACGCCGTTAATAGCACCAAACTCTTCCGGTGCTTGGGCCCTTTAAGTGCAGGAACCCTGAAAATACAACGAAGTGAATGTATATTTCTAGAAAGGTCGGAGGATTGCAGTGAATCCCTGCCTTTGTAAATGTGGCAATGTAAAGGCTCCGAGATTCTTCACTTCAACTCTTGAGCTTTATCAAGTATCTCTCAGAGGGCTAGAATATATGCACACCCAGCATGTAATATTCCGAATTTTTTCCTGTTTGCTTCAGGGAATGGTCCTTTTCCGGCAGTTATCGATATTTCCGGAACTGGTGGAGGTCTCCATGAGCACAAGGTATACAGTCTTCAGTTTACAAGTTCACTTGAGCTGTTATATTTCCTCCCGCTTAATGGAGCACGGGAAAACTGTCGATTTTCAGGGATCAATGCTGGCGTCGGAAGGTTTTGTTGTGCTGTGTGTAGCGTTCTTCCAGTACAAGAATCTCGTCGAAACACTTTCAGAAGTGGAACTGGAATATTTGAGGTAAAAATGAGTCCTCAAACCCTATCGCAGGCTTAGGCGAGATTTTTCGCTAGATTTCCCAAGGCTTTTTAAACCAAATATGACCTTTACAAAATTGCGCGCATCTTTTTTCGTGTTTTCTCATCAATCGTTGTTACCCTTCTATGGCTCCATTATGATTACGGAATTTATTGTTTACGGACTCCGACTAAACGGGGTCAATATCTATGGACCGATTTGGAACGGAAAATGTCAGATAAAATGGAATGTAAGATAAACTGGAAACACAAAGTCTCATCGTGTAGTTATGGCACAACATTGTATCACACATTCGTCAGCGTATTTATTTATTTATCTATTTATTTATTTCTATACACTCCAAGGTGTGCACAATCAATAAGAGACACCATGGAGAAAAAGCAATGGAACGATAAAAATATTAAGGTGCGGAGAGCCTTGCAAAGTTTATCGAAACAGATCTAGTCGGGGTCGGCCGCGTGTTGGCAAATTACCAATGAGGGTTGTCGTATTTATGACCCGTCCTTATCCTACGCTTCATGCGACGCGTTTTTGGGAATCCCGGACAGAGATGGAGTATGTCATTGTGACAAGCGATGTCACCAAGGACACCGGGTCGACTTCAGTTTTAGAGTTTCCCAAAGTGACGGTTGACCCTAAGGTAGGCTCATTCAAGTCCCGTTCACATGCTTTGCATTTGAAAATCGATTTGCGCCCCTCATAAGCAAATGCAAACTTTTTCATAGTAGATTCAACTATAACGCGAGCATGGCGCTGGCATTCCGAAATAAGCTGAAAATGAAAAGAAAATAGAAAGAAAGAAAATAAGTCAATATTTAGAGTTAGGTTCACGACCTCATCACGGTCCTAGCACAGTTTCAAATTTCTCTCGTAATCTTCGAAATCGCAAATCGTGAAAAAATATCAGCCGCTCAACTGCCTACTTCAGAAGCCGATCAAATGGTTGAAGAGGCAGTCATTCACTACAGACCGGCTCGGCATCCAGGGCGTATCCTTTGGTGCCACCATCGTTCTTGTCCTAGCGACGCGATTTCCTCAGGTAAGAAACTCTCTTTAATCAGGGGCGATGCGAAGTTGCCCAGAGAATGGGCAACGTTCCTCGTGAGGGATCGTTCCTGTACTTTACGAGAATTTTCTTGAGTGGATCTGAAAATCACGAGGATTCGTGGACAGACACGGTTAAAAAGTCTTACGATTAGGGAGATGGAGAAACATTAAAGATAGTTGAAAATTAGAATGAGAATAGAGCTAAGAGGCAGAAAGGGAGAGCCGATAGAGATAGAGTTGCTGTGGAACAGAGAAGCAGAAGGTTGTAGGCAGAATTCTTTCGTGAAGAAGCTTGTGCTTTGAAAAGAGAACCAGCGCTACTGACGTCGTAGCAGCGGAAAGTTCACAAAAACTGAATGGAAACACGGATAGGTCAGAAAAACCGAATGGGGAAATTAGATGGAATGGTTAATCTTGGGTGGGAGGTGGGGGAAGGAACGCGCCACGCATTCACTTTCCGTTGCAGTCTTAATGGACCTCAGCGGATTTTGAATTTTTTTATCGTAACATTATTCAGTGCTCGTCTTTCAACAAGGCATCTCACTACATAAGTTGAGCTTCAAAAAATCATTAATCTTACGATATTTCAGCTGGATGCTGTTGTTGCCATAAATGGTCCTCATGTGCTGACTGACTATGCGACTCTCAAGGAAAATGGAAAGCCAATTCCTCAAGCACAGTAAGTTGTCTGACAAAGTAACTCGAACTATTTGAATATTCCCAAGGTTCCAAGTGTCCAGGGCACAAAGGGCGTCCTAGTCCCTCTCCCTGGCTCTCTTTCCCTCGCTCCCTTATCGCTTTACCCTCTGAACGTGTCTTAGACTCCTAGCCCATGCTAAACAATGAGTAACATGGGTGCTATTCGCGCTGTCCCTAGAAGTGAGGCTCGCTAGCGGTTCGCGCTGCCCTTGAAGGCATGTCCTACGAAAAATATTGCCTTCTGCACCCACGAGAGTGGAAAAACGCTGGGGAGTGCGACAGACATGTGAAGAAAAGGATAAACAAATGATCATTCAAGCTAATAAGGTTCAGACTAAACAACGATTTGATTCGGCTGTGCAAAGCCGCGAAAATGAGCAAAAACACAGCATGGATTGTGAGAGGGACAACACATAGACACGTCACGCAGAAACATACTCATACAAAAAAAAAAATAGAATCAGTGGAGGCGTGTTTTTCAGGAACCTGCGCTCCGCTTAGACGTACGCGGGAAGAATACTATACTACTCTTGTAGAGCTCTATCCTACCACAAAAGAATCATCCCCAAAACTCATCTTGGTTGTGTAATATTTGTTTGTTTAAAAAGCATTGAGGTACTAGCATGAGCACCCTTTCTGATCGAAGCTTTTAAATGTATCTTAATAGCGATAGTCATATACATCACCACGTCCCGTAGTCTCAACTTCTGCAGTATTACATTTGACCTTGGACATGCAAATCGCTACGCGTTACATTCTCTGAATCGCGATTCTATCGGGACATTCACGTTTGTAGGAAACGATGATGTTCCTCATTTTCTTTAGGCTCGCCAATGATCGAATCCGTTTTATCAATGGAGTTATGGCATCCGACAAAATGTTTCATTACTCCACTTTCGACGAGACAAGCGAAATACCGTGGCATCGGACCTCACCCCACACTTCATTCCGTATCGTGGTGAGTCTTGGGCTATAACTTCGTGGCGGCCCATGCCGTTTTTGCACTCCGCAATACAGCTCACTTCCAAGTTTCTCCTGTGCTTCAGTAAAACAAATGATGCTAGTAGATTTCTGTGATAGCTTTAACAAGAAGATCAATTGATAGAATTCGTGTAATGTTGAGTTAGGACTTTCGAATATGCACGTCGCCAAGTTATGACCTAACACGTATTGCGCAGTTGACCGTTGCAACGTGAGCCCTTCAAAAGCATGGACACAATTGGTTGCGCGCATCGCGTCAATCACATCAAGTCACTTTTCTGCACCGGAACTCGATTCGTTCACAATTCTAAACCTCACTTTTCAGTTTAGTCCACGTTCGATTTCCCTTTAATTGTTGTGCACATTCACCTAGAATTTCCTAATAGTAGCTAATTACAAAACTCCATGGATGGCAAGATATGCGCTTTTAATGAAACAAACAACCTAACAACACTTCTTACGGCATCTGTAGCGAAAGTTCATAGTTTTACTTCCACACTGCCACTATATGTTCTTTTGGGCGTTGACTAATGGTAAGTCCTACGTTGCCTGCGATCTCTACGGCTGGCAATGGGCGTGTCGACCAAAAGGCAGATGGATCAAAGTTGGCGTCTATCCAACGGCTTATTGCGTCTTCTCAAGAGCCCTTTCGGCTCCAGCCACACTCCACATCTTTTCGACTAGGGCCCATGCATCTTTTTACTGGGTTAGCAGTAACTACATGGATCCATCTGGGGTTGTTGCTCTAAGGGCTCAACCGCTGGCTTGCTTTGCTTCCTTTTCATTTCCGTCAAAATGGCGTCCATAATATCATTTTTTACCACTTATCCTATCAATTTGATCTGGGCATTTGCTTCAAGAACTGAAAGGCTCTGCTCACTTGAGAAAGTCATCCAACAGAAAAGCCGATAAGTCTACCAGGTCCCCTTCAGCCACTAGGCTAGTTTTTATTGAAGTATTTGCAATTTGGGAAGTAAGGAGAACGAGAGCAGTGCTTAATATGTATTCACACGAAACTTGAACAATGAAGTACGAAACACTGAAAGAATTAACAATCCTTCTTGATAAAACTTGTTATTTCGCCTTTATGATTATTGTTTTAGGCAGCTGTTGACGATCTCGCCGCCCCTTCCCTTTTCTGTGGTCGGTACGTGACGAAAAAATTGAGGGATATTGGACGAGACGTTGAGGTGAACGTTTGATTATTTCAGCCGTTCATTTTTCCTTTGTTTGAAAAGTTGGTTTCTTACTTCATTGGAGTAGATTGCCCCTTGTGGGAGATCAGCTTCTTGGCTCTGCCTGATTTTTAGAAGGAATTTCCCTAAATGACAGAGAGTTTCAGATCCAACTTGTGAATGGAGGTCACTTCATGGAACCACCCTATTTTCCTCATCACGGTGCTGTTTACGCCAAGTTTCAGGGTTAGTTTTCACACCATGGCCGCGAGGTTCATGACTCGACGCATACAATGCTAGTAAACTGCTAAATTATAGGATTCTGCTGTGGTTACGGTGGTGATGCCATCCTCCACGGGAAAAGCCAGGAAGTCTCATAGCAAGACACCATCGATTTCTTCAGAAGGAAAATCGGAGAGCCAGCTAACATGCCTGATTGGGACAGAATACACCAGCCGCACTCAGCTA